TTTAGAATATTTTATAAGAAAGTTAATTTTCAAAAATTTTAAAAAGAAAATATTTCAAATCAACGCGTCGCTTATATTTAAGTAGTCTTTATAAAAATCAATTGGTCTGTATAGAGACCATAGGTCTTTTGATTGATATCTATCCATACCTTATTAACATTGGTGTATATTTATTTCTTTCAGATATCCCCCTTAACCTCATCATACAGAAAATTCAATTGGCGGCTGTTGCTTGCTGGAGAGACAACTCAACTTTCTAATACCCATTTTAACCTCCACATTTAAAATATGTTGCGTTGCTGTTGTATCAGCAGGTATAACAAAACAAATCCTTTAAATTTTGAGAAAAAAAAACACACACACACAAAACATTTTTTTAATTTTAATTACGGTAACGAAATAGTAATTCAGAAAGAAAAACAAAGCCTAATTTGTTTTTAAAAAAATATATTAGAACTAAAACAAAAAAAGTAAACTAAAAGTAAATGATTTTCTTTAACATTAGAGAAAAATCAGAAGATATAATATTGTAAAGAATAACATATTATAAGGTACATTTTATTCAAAAAGAAATCAAAACCATTTTTTTAACATTTTTTTCTGTGAATTTAATTTAATTCTTTTTTCATCATTAATAATTAATTAAACAATTGATTGGTATTATATATTCTCATGTAATTCATTCAATCCTCCATCATCCCCCAACAACAACCAAATCCAATGTCAAAACAAATATTTTTTAACAAAATTTCATCCTGCATTTTTTTTAATGGGATGAAATTGATATTTCCAAATGACATAATACCTAGTGTTTTAAAACATTTAATATTATAACATATAATAATGCAACTAATATAAATAAATTTCATCATACAAATATATACATACAAAAAATCATACGAAATCAATTTTTTTTGCAATTATTTGAAAACAAAATCAAATCAAAAAAACAAATCATTAATTTAAAAGCTATATTTTGAGTTGGTCATACATTAATCCACAGTGTTTCGATTTGTTTAAATTTTTTGTTCCTTTATGGTTAGGTTTCTTTTTTATTTTAGGTTAATATTAGTAGTAGCTTTTATTAGTTGTAATACAAAAACAAAAAGAAAATACACACACGTTTTACTAATAATAAAAAATATTATACTGCTACTTGTATGAGTGAAAAAACACACTATATAATCCATCCACCTTGAGGATTTTGATTAGGTCTCTACAAAGAGAATGGAGGGATGAAACCAACCAAAAAAATATTCTATTTTATATTTTAAAAAAATATATATTCATTTTTTGTTTCCATTCAATTATCTACCTATTTGTTGTTTTCTAATCTCTTTTTTATGTGTTTTTTTGCAATTTTAATAATTTTCCAAAATTTTATATACAATACAGGCCAAACTATAATAAAAAGCGGTTTGTTGGCTGTTCTTTTAAGCAGAGCAGAGAATGCAAGAAATGAGCAGACAGGAAAGACAAGGCAGGTGAATGATTGAAAAAATATGTAAATTCTGAAATATATAAGAGTATAGGAGATAAAGAAGCAGGAGAAGGTGAAGTGAAGAGGAGTGTAATGATTGTTTGGTGTGTGGGAGTTAACCAGAAATAATTATGGTGGGTGTGCGACGAGCAAGCGGTTTTATTGTATGGCGTTTTACTACTGCTGCTGAGCATGCTTTTATATAGACCTATCACCTAAAGCTGCTGATCTACCGGCTGGCTGCTGTTTCTTCCTATTTTTCGGCCACATTGTGTGATGCTGCCATCTTTTCATCTAGGGCCAATCACGAACGAACAAATATTGTTTATGGTGGTCGGCTGTTGCTGCCAAGTCACTCTTAGATCGATCATTCAATAAGAATTGGTGACATCTCTGCGTGGCGGCCTGGTGGTGGTGGGTGTGTGCGTGCGCGCTGTTGTACAACAAATCATCTCACCAGCCAATATCTTCTTCTTGTCCAGAAATGTAGTCAGCATCAGCAGTTTTAGTAGGTGGTGGTGGTTTGCCGTTTATTCGTCTTTTGAGATTCTTCAATTACGGTTTCCGAGTTTAATGCTGTAATTCCTCCAACCATTTTTCAAAATTACAAAAAAGGCGTTGGCGGCGGCATTATAACAAACTGTTGATTTGGCTGACTGATAGTGGCTGAATTCGAATTGACGCGCATTTAGCTGACGATCTTAATTTAGTTTCGTGCGTTTCATCGTACAAAAAAGAAAAAAAAACTGGTCTATATAATGGCAGAAAATGTGTCGTCGTCGGTATCTTCTGGCGTGTGGTGTATTTTCAATTGCATTTGATATTTAGAGCTAGACAATTTGCCGAGTTTTTACAAGAGCACTTTTGGTGGCAGGCTTCCTGAGTTTTCAGCCAACGACGACAAAACCGCCAGTCAATCTGTAAATTAATTCACATAACTTCAAAATATGCAGTGTCAATCAGTATTTTCCTTGTAATTGGCGACAGCGGCGGTGTTCGTTTTTTTCGGTGTGTGGTGGAGATGATTCCATTCTCTCGATCGATTTCCAAAATTTTTTCTTCAAAAAACATACATACATATGTAAACATATATGACAGGTGGTCCAGGTTTTATGATGATGGCGACTGGTGATTTTTTGTGGCAAATTGGTCTCTACCCGGCTCGCAGAACTCTCAAGGTATGTGTAAATGAAATTTTATTAATCAATTTTATGATTTTTTTCAGGGAAGTGGAGGAACAAAAAAAAATATAGAAAAAAAAAATCATTTAACTTTTTATAAAACAAAAATTAATTAGTTTTGAAATAAAGAAATTAACCAGGAAATTTAAATGAGTTTTTATTATTTGGGATTTTTTTAAGAAACCTTAGTGGGTTTTTCAGGGTCTACAGAAGATGTGGATTTTTTAAAGAATATTTTTTCAGTCTTATCTTGGTCCCTCTTTCATCTAATTCTGGACACTGACCTCCCCGCGGTATCACCTGGGGTAGCTATTTTCATCACCCGTTGAAATAGTGAGCTGAAATGTACCGCGAGTTCACCCATAAGAACTATAAAAAATAGGTGTAAGTAAATCAGACGATTACGCACTGTATTATAGCTGCCATGAAACGAGACATGGATTTGGCTGCGGATTTGGCTCCAGATTCACTCTAGTAGATGAGCGAATTGCTATAATCCGCATAAAAGCGAAGTTCTACATCAGTCTTATTTGCGCCCATGCTCCGACCGAGGACAAAGATAAACAGACATAAGACATATTTTACGAGCGCCTAGAAACAGCAGAAACAGAGATTTTAATGCAAAAATCGGAAGGGAAAATATTTTTGGCCCCACCGTCGGAAAATTTAGCCTTCATGAAGGAACATCCGACAACGGCATGAGGTGCATGAAACACGGTAGTTACCAGCATCAGATTTAAACATCTCGATATACACAATTGAAGCCAATGGTCAATGACATTTTTGGACCATACCAATGCGGCTTTAGACCTGGTAAATCCACCATTGACCAGATTTTCACTCTGCGCCAAATCCTGGAACAAACCGACGAAAAACACATCGACACATTCCATCTATTCGTCGACTATAAAGCCAGCGCTATCCGTTCAGAGGTGTTTAAAGCCATGTCTGCATTCTGTATTCATGCAAAATGAATACGGTTATTAAGTGGCACAAGATCAGACGTTTAAGTCAGAAAGGACCTATCGGAGTCCTTCAATACCGAACGAGGATTCAGACAAGGTGACACTTTGTCGTGTGACCTGTTTAACATCCTGTTGGAAAAGGTCATACGAGACGCAAAGGTGAACAGAAATGGTATTCTGTACACTAAAGAACACATGTTACGTGCCTACGCCGAATACATCGATATAATGGATTGAACATTGCGAGCGGTAACAGCCACCTTTGAACAAATTGAGAAGTAGTCTGCCAAAGTGGGTCTGGCAGTAAACGGCGAGAAGACCAAGTTGATGATATCAACGTGCAACGACGTCCAGTAGACTTGGACCAACTGTGAATTTGAAAACTGCAGCATCGAGTCAAAGATTTTATATACCTTGTTACCGCCATAAATAACACGAATGGCGGACAAATAAAACGCCATAAATAAATTCGAATTCGGAGAAGGATTGTGAAGGCCAACAGATGCAACTATGGTCTAAGTAAGCAGTTTAGAAACAAGGTCACCTCCCGCCAGACCAAACTCACACTGCAAGACGCTGATACTACCCGTGCTGTTATATGGATCTGAAGCATGGGTACTTGCGCAAGCAGATGAGGTAGCTCTTGGGGTGTTTGAAGGAAAAATTCTCCGAAAGATCTACGAGCCGATCTGCGTCGACGGTGAATATCGGCGTCGAATGAGCCACGAGCTTTACAATTCATATGCGGACATCGACATAGTCGTATTAAGCTGCAGCGACCACGGTGGCTAGGCCATGTTGTGCGAATGAATGAGAATGCCCCAGCCCAAAAGGCATACAAAAGCGAATCTACTGATGGTTCACGCAGAAGGGAAAGGCCACGAATTAGTTGAAAAGACCAAGTCGAAGACAACATCTTGGAACGTGGAGGAGATGCGCATAAGACCGACGCGCTTGGAAATCGTTTTTAAGCTTGGCTTATGTAACAAGCCAGCTAAATAAGTTAAGTAAGCAGCAATGGGGTGGAGTTTTTAAAGAATATTTTTTTCAGGGTCTACCAAAGACGTGAATTTTTAAAAGATTTTTTTTTCAGGGTTTACCAAAGGTGTGGATTTTTTAAAGAATATTTTTTTCTGGATCTTGAAATGCGTGGATTTTTTAACGAATATTTTTTCACGGTCTATCAAAGTCGTGGATTTATATTTGTTAATTATAATCCTCCTAGCAACATGTGCTACTTTGTTGTAACCAAGCAACATTTGTTGCAGGTTGTTGTTATTTTCCATTAACAAATAGAAAATATTTGTCTTCTCAACAAAAAAAAAGTTAATTTCTTCAGACCTAAATTTTCCAAAACTAAAAAAATTCCGTAAAATGATAAGGGTACGCAACTATTCCTACGCTCCCCACCTGGAAAGAGAGGGTCGTTTCATTTGTCCACTACCATCACCACCAAATGTAGACACCAATCGTGGTGAATGGTATTCCAATTTAAAACCCTACGAACGGCTATTCTATCATCAAACCCTGTCATCGGTACGCAGCAGTAAACGTTATGTGGCCACATCCCAGATACCCAAGGATTCATTAGATTTTCAATTGCAAGCACGCTATGTTCACTCGCGAGAGAATTTTCCCGAATTGGTCGATTATGTTTTGCAAACGGAAACATGCTGTCAAATGCCACAGACATTTCGTGTGTTGCGAAATACTCAAGATATAAAACTGCCAAAACCCGATAAAATGGGCCACCCATTGAAAATTGGTGAGTAATCGAAAAATTTCTGTAACTGGAAATGTTAAAAAAAATGTTTACCTCTTTGTCAGGTGGCATCAAAGAGAAACTATCACCCCACAGTGTCAAATTAATTAATAGCGGACCGCACACGCAATTGGTTAATAATGGATATTCTCGTCAACCGGCTGATGGCAATTTCTTCCGTTATTAAAACAAGAACTATTGGTGAAGAGAAATATTTGAAAATGTTGGTGGTCATCGAAAAACAGGAATCGTTTTCTTTTATTATTTCATACTTTAGTAAAACATTTTTGTAAAATTTCTAGAAAAAATATTTAAATTTATTTTATCATGACTCCATTTTACAGTCGTCTGTATTGGGGGTGCTGGTGGTGGTTTCAATTTTGGGTTGTTTACTTTTCTGTGTCTCCTCTTCGTCATCTTCAGGACCTTTGCCGCCATCATTATTGGTGTCATGTGCCTTATGTTTTTGTTTCTTATTCTGATTACGATGGCTTTTTTCGATTTTATCCTCCCCAATCCTGTAAAAAAATTGAAATAAAGAAATGTAATTAAATTAAAGGATTTATTTTTGGATTTTCAATTTTTAAAAAAATTTTTTCAAGAACGAACAGAAGGCATGGATTTTTAAAAATATTTTTTTCAAGGATCAAAAATCCACAAGTTGTGGATTTTTAAAAATATTTTTTAAAGGACCAAGGATTGTTTAAAGAATATTTTTCCAAGGACCAAATGAAGCGTGTTTTTTAAAAGAATATTTTTCCAAGGACTAAATGAGGCGTGGATTTTTGAAAGAATATTTTCCCAAGAACCAAATGAGGCGTGGATTTTTTAAAGAATATTTTTCCAAGAACCTAATGAGGCGTGGATTTTTTAAAGAATATTTTTCCAAGAACCAAATGAGGCGTGGATTTTTTAAAGAATATTTTTCCAAGAACCAAATGAGGCGTGGATTTTTTAAAGAATATTTTTCCAAGAACCAAATGAGGCGTGGATTTTTTAAAGAATATTTTTCCAAGAACCAAATGAGGCGTGGATTTTTTAAAGAATATTTTTCCAAGAACCAAATGAGGCGTGAATTTTTTACAGAATATTTTTCCAAGAACCAAATGAGGCGTGGATTTTTTAAAGAATATTTTTCCAAGAACCAAATGAGGCGTGGATTTTTTAAAGAATATTTTTCCAAGAACCAAATGAGGCGTGAATTTTTTACAGAATATTTTTCCAAGAACCAAATGAGGCGTGGATTTTTTAAAGAATATTTTTCCAAGAACCAAATGAGGCGTGGATTTTTTAAAGAATATTTTTCCAAGAACCAAATGAGGCGTGGATTTTTTACAGAATATTTTTCCAAGGACCAAGAATTTTTTAAAGAATTTTTATCACAAGGACAAAGAATTTTTTAAAGAATTTTTATCACAAGGACAAAGAATTTCTTAAAGATATTTTTCCAAGCACCAAGAATTTTTGAAAAATATTTTTTTAAAGGACCAAATGAAAAATTAAATTTTCAAATTTTTTTGAAACTTACATTATTGTAGCCCTCGTGCCTGGTCCCCAATGAGGTGTTGGATTCGCCTGGAATCTTGACAGTGCCTGTTTTCTACTTTTCGGATTTGCCTCGGGATGGATATTATCAAATTCATAATCTCTGGTACATGGTTTACTTAGTATTGCCTTAATTGGTGTGCCATCAATCATACGTTCCTCCTTTACGGGGTGACGTTTATTCCAACATCTTAAAATATCCCACAACACGGCAGCGGGAGCATTTGTTTTTATGGAATTTTTATAGGCATGAGAAAATGACACTTTATAACCGGCATGTAATAGAGCTGAACGGAACTTCAATATAGGAACTATTTCCAATTTAAGGACACAACAAAGTTTATCCAATGTATAGTAGAGAGGGACATCTTCCAGCTCTTCGAGGACCACCGTCAACATGCCAACTAAACGTTTTTGTGTACCCAGTTCGTCGAGGGGTGACGATTGTATTGCACTAAGTAGTTGTTGGACAAATGATTTGTCGTGTATTGGCGCCGACCAAATGGGACCACCCAACTGAAATGAGGCTATTTTTATTAGTTCTTAAATTATTTAAAATATCAGTTAAAACTCACATGATGTTTATGCCCACAATGTTCACAATGCTCTGAAACTGGCGGTCCTGTGGGTATACCAAATTTCACTTGATTCGGATTACTTGGTGTTGGATTTGGTTTGATTGTACCCAACGGGTACAAAGTGTATGTATCACAGCCCGTACATTGATATATCATCGATTGTTTGCTCATACTAAATTTACATTTAGCTTGACTGCTAAAGATGCGTACAAAAACTCGAACATAAAAATCAGCTGAAATGCTAAGTAAAGGTACAATATATTTGCCATAACGATTGGCATGTGTCTCAATGCAGTGGAGGAGTATGCGTAATGCCATTTCGTGGCATGATTTCATACGCAATGGTACGCTGCCATATTTAACGTAACATGCCTCGGGGGCATTTCCCGCCAAGACGGCCATATCAGTGGCAGTGACCAGCAATAGACCACCATCAACAATTGATTGCATGGCACCGTCAAGGAAACGATTTGGACAACCATAGGGATCCAGATCGACGCAGTCGTATTGTTTCTCCTTGGTGGTTGAAAGGTACATTAGGGTCCTACAAGAAAAAAAAAAATAAATAAAAAATTTTTAAAATAAAAATATTTTAAATAAATATTTATGAAATGTTTGGCTACTAACATGGCATCAGCATGACTTGGCTCTATCAGATGTTCCACTTGATTGTGTTTGACATTTTCCCTTATCGCCTCGACAGCCTGCTTGGACAAATCATTGGCAATAATTTCTTTAACGCCGGCAATTTCCTTGGCATAACGAATACTACGTAACCCAGTTGCCGATAAAGCTTCTAAAATACGTAAACCATCTTCATATTTCTCGCCTGCCTTATAAACCTTGTTTGCAGGGGATTCCTTCTCCTCTCCCTCCACGGTTTTGTTTACATCATCCGCATTACCATTGCTATCCTTTTTATTGTTATTGTTCTTTTTCGATATGCTCGACCTCTCCTTAAGCAATTGTTGGAAATAAACGTTGAGTACTGATATACTCAGATCACGATTAAATTCTTGTACTGGATTATAGAAGACATTGCCACCGGATACAATTTCAGCGGAACGTTCACGTATTATTTTATTTATGGGATTCTTAATAGTTGTCTGCAAGAGAAATACATTTACGATATTAATTATGTAAATTTTAAGAAAATATAAATAAAAATTATATTATTTGCATGACTCCTGAAGGGTAAGGAATTAAGCCTTTCCGGTTGTTTAATTAATTCCTCAAGATATTTTTATTGTTCCCTGGGAATCCTTTGCAATGTCTTTCTGTCCCTCTGGTCATTGTAATTATTATGTTCCCCTATCCCGCACTTCTATAATAAGTTATACACATTGTTGAGCGATATACCTTGGAATTATTATTTTCTGTGTCCATATTTTTTCTTTTTCTCTATAAAAACCAATATTTTTTGTATTTTTAAAGCTATGAAACGAAATCAAAACAAACTATTCCACGTTTCCCTCAAACAATGCTTTTCAAACTACGTTGTCATGCATTCAACAATAGTTGGTCGATAAAGCAGTTTAACAGTTTGAAATTGTCAGCTGTATGGCGCTTCAAAGTAGGGCAGACAAAATCGAACTTTAAATTGATTTTAGTTTGGGTATTGATCTATTTTGCGAAGGGCTACCTGATGTTTCGTGGATGAGTAGGATCCTGCACGACAATGTGGTGGTTTTATTGCGGACAGAAATTAATAAAATCAATTTTAAAGTCCTATTGCAAAGCATTTAGCAAATGTAGACCTAATATTCTGAAACCACTTTTTCTATGAAAAATCAACGAAAAAAAAACCAAACACTCCTCCGCGCTCTTCCTAACTTAACACTTCTTGTCCCGATAACATTTTAGAAGCACAATGGCAAAGAATTGCCCACGTCCTACAAACTGCAGCAAAAGCAACACTTGGGTACCAAAAACCACCATCAAGAAACCCATGATACGATCAGGAGTGTCGTAATGCTACTGATGTCAAATACGCAGCGTATAGGGCAACACTGCAGACAGTAGCAACATTTAATGCGATGGAGAATTATCGGGAGAAAAGGAGTAACGTATATGCAAAAAAAGGAAGAACAAGAAAAACGTGAGCGTGAGTAAAACACCTAACCGAAGGCTATGGTGCAGGCACAACCTCCTGTAGAGATAAAGAAGGAAATCTGGTGACAGATACAAACAGCGTGTTGAGGATCTGGAAGGAGCATTTTGAAAAGCTTCTGGTATCAAATAGTAGCGGTGAAGAGGATACCCTAGAACCAATAATAGATGACGGTATAGAGTGTATACCACCTAGTCAGGATGAGGTTAGAATAGTAATCAATCGGCTGAAGAATAGTAAAGCAGCAGGTGCCGATGAGAGAAGAATAGCGTTGGCCAACAGATGCTACAATGTCCTAAGTAAGCAGTTTAGAAACAAGGCCTTCAGTATGGTCGGGCGGGATCTACTGTTATATGGATCTGAAGCATGGTTACTTACACAAGCAGATGAGACAACTCTTGAAGTCTTTCAGAGAAAAATTCTCCGAAATATCTATGGACCGTTCTGCATACACAGTGAATATCACCGTCGAATGAAGCATGAATTGTACCATCTATTCTCGAACATCGACATAGTCAGACGTATCCAGCTGCAGCGACTACGTTGGCTAGGTCATGTTGTGAGAATGGATTAAGATGCTTCAGCTCAAAAGGCATATAAAAACAAGCCTACAGATGGTTCACGCAATAGGGAAAGTCCACGAATTCGACGGAAAGATTAAGTGCAAGACAACTTTTAGGAACATGGTCTTTCAAATTGGAAGAAGCTGCGCATCAGACCGACGCGACTTGAAATCTTTTTTAAGCTCGACTTCTGTCACAAGCTTGCTAATATGACATGTATATACGTTCTATCAGTAAGAAACAGCCATATTTATTTTATTTTGTACTACATTTTAATTTGGATGACTCAAATTGTATTAAGTGCAACGTATAATTATGATAAATAAAAAATAAATATCAAAAATTATATAATTATTCTTATTTCGAGCTTTTACATTTGAAAATGTTTAATAATTATCCATGTGTAAACTGATTTTTGACATACTGCTTACTTTTATCAGTTTTCATATTTCATACGGTACTACCGCGGCTCGTTGATTGTGTTCAAACGTCAAACGTTTCACAATCAGCTGTTGTTAACATCAAGTGTTACGAAAACCAACCATCTAACCACTACTTTTTTGGGAACTATTAGAAAAAATTGAAATACGAGTTTTTGTGTCGCGATTTTCTTCAGATTTCTAACATGAATAAAATTTGCAAAAGTTTTATATCCATGCTAAGTCATGGCCACATGCAAAAAACCTATACCTCAGCTGCCGTTTTAGGTAGAAATCTATCGTTTAAAAGCGATTTGTCGCTGGACAAACTCTATCCCGGCAGTCGTTTGCAAATGTACACGCCGCCACCGGTAAGTAGACGATTTTACAATTCTTGAGTGGGAATTTTATATCTAATGATCTGTGCTTATCTTCAGCCCGCCAATAAAGATGAGAAATTTTCCGGTTTTATACCAATAAATAAATTGGAAATTACCTACAGTCGCAGTTCGGGACCGGGTGGTCAACATGTCAATACGGTCAATACAAAAGTTGATGTACGTTTTAAATTGTCCGAAGCCGATTGGATACCAGAGAAAACACGTCAAAAGCTTTTAAATTCGGTAAGGATGATTATAATAATCTTAAATCCGAGTTATACTTCAACTGGTATTGTTCTGAAATCTATCTGACAGAAGCATTCTTTCTTATAATATATACGTGAGATATGGACCTATCTATATATATTTATCTAAATCAGAACCCGATTTCATTATGGGCTCAATTTGGTACGCTATGTAAAATTTCGTCTCAATCGGAAAAACATTGGACCATTGACACCCTGTCGGACCATAATACACATGGACCTATATCTAAACGGTGAATCCATTTCCAATTTTAAATCGGAAATGGAATCGGCCAAAGACCAAATAACTGTGACGAATTTCATCTCATTCGTATAATAAATGCGACCGTACTTTGTTAATAAAAATGCGTGGACTGACAGTCAGACAAAAAACTCGAATGTAGTATTAGAGTCCATAAATTAAAAGATTTCAGAACAATCCATATAGAATTCGTATATATATTTTTTAGTTCCTATTAATATAACTAATTCAAGTTTATTCCTTTTTTTGTACAGCTGCAAAATAAAATCACCAAAGAAGGCTACTATGTTGTCAAAAGTGATTTGACCCGTTCCCAGCAAATGAATTTGGCCGATGCCTTGGAGAAATTACGTGCCCTTATTAGAGAATATGAAATTGAGGCTCCACCACCATCCGAAGAGACTTTGGAAAAACTGCGTAAGAGGTAAGGCAATGGGTAAATAATTACCTTTACTATCGGCTGTATGTGACAAATTTTTATAGGAAACTTTCAATTCAGCCTGGCTGAATGTGAATTTCTATAGGAAAATTTTAATTCAGCCTGGCTGAATGTGAATTTCTATAGGAAATTTTTAATGCAGCCTTGCTGAATGTGAATTTCTATAGGAAATTTTTAATTCAGCCTGGCTGAATGTGAATTTCTATAGGAAATTTTTAATTCAGCCTGGCTGAATGTGAATTTCTATAGGAAATTTTTAATTCAGCCTGGCTGAATGTGAATTTCTATAGGAAATTTTTAATTCAGCCTGGCTGAATGTGAATTTCTATAGGAAATTTTTAATTCAGCCTGGCTGAATGTGAATTTCTATAGGAAATTTTTAATTCAGCCTGGCTGAATGTGAATTTCTATAGGAAATTTTTAATTCAGCCTGGCTGAATGTGAATTTCTATAGGACATTTTTAATTCAGCCTGGCTGAATGTGAATTTCTATAGGAAATTTTTAATTCAGCCTGGCTGAATGTGAATTTCTATAGGAAATTTTTAATTCAGCCTGGCTGAATGTGAATTTCTATAGGAAATTTTTAATTCAGCCTGGCTGAATGTGAATTTCTATAGGAAATTTTTAATTCAGCCTGGCTGAATGTGAATTTCTATAGGAAATTTTTAATTCAGACTGGCTGAATGTGACAAATTTCTATAGGAAATTTTTAATTTAGTGTGGTTCTATGTGAATTTCTATAGGAAACCTTTAATTCAGCTTGGCTGAATAGAAATTTCTATAGGAAATTTTCAATTCAGCATGGCTGTATGTGATTTTTTTAGGAAATTTTCAATTCAGCTTGGCTGAATAGAAATTTCTATAGGAAATTTTCAATTCAGTATGGCTGTATGTGAATTTCTATAGGAAATTTTCAATTCAGCCTGGCTGAATGTGAATTTCCGTAGGAAATTTTCAATTTAGTGTGGTTGTATGTGAATTTCTGTAGGAAACCTTTAATTCAACATGGCTGAATAGAAATTTCTATAGGAAATTTTCAATTCAGCATGGCTGTATGTGATTTTTTTTAAAGGAAATTTTCAATTAAGCCTGGCTGAATGAACAATTTCAATGTTGTTTTCTTCCTTTCCAGACAAGAAAAAGCCGCCCGTGAACGTCTCTTTCAAAAACGCCAAAGATCACAAACCAAGGCTGATCGCCAAGGACCATCATTAGCTGATTTATAAAAAAATTAACACCCCAGTATATAAGTTCTTCGATTATTTTTGTTATCATTAAAAAAAATGTGTTGTTATTAAAAAATAATAAATAAGAATAAAAAACGAGATATTCTCATTTTTGAAAACACCTGAGGGAAATCAAGTACATTTTTCATTTATTTATTGTTTTTCTTTATAGGTTATGTAGTTTCTTTGTTTTTGGTGTAGTTACAAAAAACCAAGTTTTACACAAGAAGAATTTTCTCTTTATACTAACAACATTATTATTATAAAAAATCATATCAAACAACAAAAAGTGTTTTTTAGCTAAACAAATAACAAATTACCCTAAATACACAGAACGAAAGAAAGGACAAGGGGAAAGAGGAAAAATTAAACAAAAACAGAAAATATTGGGAAAAATATCAAAAATTATAATAAAAAATAATATTTATAATAAATGTTTTGTTAATTGTTAGTTTAAGCGTTTTTCTTTCATTATTGTTGTTGTTCTCTTTTGTTTATTTTTTGTTCGATAATAATATAATAGCCTAGTGAAAAAAATCAAACATTATTTTTAATGAAATATAGTAGTATAACAATACAAATTATACAATAATTGTAAATTGTTATTATTTTTGTTTTTTTTTATACAATTTTGGGAGTGTTTATATATAATCTAGTTTTTTATTTTTAATTTATTTTAGTTATTAACTACCTATAATATGAAAGTGGTATTGTTGTTGTTGTGGTTTAAGTATACTGATGATGTAAGTCACACGCACACGCCCATAAGACCGATCCATACTCATTTTATTTACCTAATTCTATATACAAATAAATATAGATTTTAGTTTTTTTTTTAATTTAAGCATCCGATGGATTTAATGGCTGCAGTGGATCATCTTCGGCGGGGGTTACAATAAATTTGCGTCGGTTCTTTTCTCCGGCCATGGATGGTGTATTTGTGCAGGAGTTAAATTTTGAGGAATCGGGTGTAACAATTTTAACGGTGGGTGGATTAACCTTGGAGGGCATTGTTGAGCAACGGGAACGGGGTAGCTGAGAAAAAAAAAAATAAAATTCAAAAAATTAATTTTTTCAATAAAAATTTCTCAAGGGCCATCATAGCACTAGGGGTGTAATTTTTAGGCATAATTTCTCAAAGACCACCAAAGGTGGATTTTGAAAGCATTTTTTCTAAAGGCCCATCATAGCACTAGCCGTGGATTTTCTAAGAAAAAATGTCAATATTTCTTTTACTTACATTTTCACTTAGCAGTTTATAGGACGATGCAAAATCTACCATACGTCCAGTGGGTCGGCGACCCAAACCAAATCTATGCCTGAAATTCAAAACAAAACAACCACAAATAAATAACCTCTCCATTCGAAAATCTCCTTTTTCAATCTGCCACTTACATTTTCTCCTTCATCGTTGTCTGATGCGTTATGGTCGCATACAGTTGATCGATTTGATGTACCGTCGAATAATTACCACGCATCGGTTCATATGATGTCTCGAAGGGATGACGAGTACCGACCGGCGACCATGTATGCTGATAGGCAGCATCATCCATTTGTATCGTTCTCAAGATATCATAATTAATACCCAAGGCTTTTTGATCCTCTTGCGGCAGGTGAGCATATTCATCCATAATAACATTATCGCTATCGAGACGACGACGTTTAAGGTGGCGGGCAATTTTAATATCATGTTTCCAAAATTCACGATTATTTCCGGAAATCGGTGCGATTTCTTTTAGTTTCAATACCACAATGCCCATAACATAAATGCAGAGAATATTCGAAATGGTGAGGCACATACTGATTGTGGCCAACACAGCCAGTTCATTGGCTTGATTTTCCGAATATTGGGTGGTCTTCACCACCTGGGGAAATTTAGTTTCATCGTTTTCATAGCATTTATAGATTAAGGCTATGGCCCAAAGGAGACCCTGGAAGGAAAACAATTAATGAATTTAGTACAAAAAACTTCAATTTCTATAGGAAATTTTCATATTCAGCCTGGCTGAATGGGAATTTCGATAGAAAATTTTGAATTCTGCCTGGCTGAATGAACAAATTCTATAAGAAATTTTCAATTCAGACCGGTTGAATAGACATTTCTATAGGAAATTTTCAATTCAGCTTGGCTGAATGGGAATTTCTATAGGAAATTTTCAATTCAAATTTTTTTGAATAGAAATTTCTATAGAAAATTTTCAATTCAGCCTGGCTGAATGTAAAAAATTAACAGTTTTTAATAAAAAATAATGAAAAACAAATCTCACCGAATTAACTGCAGGTGGCAACAACGAAGCTGAAATTGCCACACCAACCAATGATCCGATATTACCACCCAATATACCAATAGCAGCCGCTGCACCCGATGGTATCGCCGTAAATACACCCACAATCAAGGAATGTAATTCACATCTCGATAGAATTTCAGCGGTTAGACCTTCACCAATGCTATAACGTTCATCGGTGGTACAGACAATAATACCGAATACAAAACCGACCAATACCGCAGCACAAATACCAAACAATTCATTGACCATACCCAAACGGAACAGTGACTTATCCTTAATGACTGTACCGAAGATGGTGGCAATAATGGGACCCATTAACGGTGATACTAACATACTAGATGCCAAGAATATGGTGCTATTCTCGATTAAACCGAAAGCGGCTAGGACCCTATAAAGAGCGGGAGAACAATCGAAATCTAGAATTTCTCTTAGGTCAAACATAGAAAGGGTCCTACTTACGCCGCTGAGATCAATAATACTACAAAATCAAATGTAATTGATGCATCCTCGCGTACATTTCGTACAATTTGTGTCACATTTAAACGACTACGGACGGAATTCATAAAACGCTCCCAGGCGCTTTGTTTTTTGTCGAAATTGCTGTAAATAGTTAGATGTAATTTAGCATGGGGTTAATAACCTTGAATATTGTTCTGTTGTTGTTGTAAATCTTACTCAGCATTATCGTCATTATCTTCATCATCTTCGTCTTTTGTTGAAAATGCCTTGGAGGCAATACAATTCATAACCGAAACGGATGAACCCTCACGATCGCCAATACCCCATTCATTGAAATCGTCCAATATTTTTTCATAGGTTTCATTGAATTCAACAGTGAAAGAGACCTGCAAAAAATTGAAAAAAAAAAGAAAATATATGAGAGAGTTGTCTTATGAAGTTTCGGTATTTTTAAGGTTTTAGCCGCATTTATCCAACGCCCAGACGAAACGGTTAAAACTAGTGAGGGTCACTTTAGTCCGATGGAATCAGAAAATGTTGGGTTTTTGGAAATCTGTACTAGAGCGGCACGAAAAGTACTAAATATGGTACCATTTGTATTTTTGGCGAAAAGGTACAGCTAGAAATCTTACATTTGGAATGAGGATCACCGATGGAGTGTAGGATAAATGTACCAAAGGTTTTTTTTTTTGGAAATTCGAACTATAAGTAAACATCCGAAAATTACTAAAATGTACTACATTTGGTACAAATTCGTAGCATATGAACGGATAGAGTTTAAAACTTGAAATTTGGAATGCGAATCAATGTTTAGTAGAAGAGTCGAAATCCACCCATAAGAAGGTGGTTTTGGAATGGAGCTGGGGTCCTAAAATTTGAAATACGAAAAGTACAAAATCGTACTAAATTTGGTGCAATTTGAATTTGTAGGAACGGATGGAGTAGGAATCCTGTAATTGGAAATATGAAAAGAACTAAACCGTACTGAAAATTGAAATACGAAAGTACTAAACAGTACAAAATTTGGTACAATTTGAATTTGGAAGAACGACTGGAACTGGAATCCTGAAATTTGAAATACGAAAAGTACTAAATTTGGCACAATTTGAATTTGGAGGAACGGATGGAGCTGAAATCCTGAAATTTGAAATATCAAAAGTACTTAATTTTGTACAATTTCAATTTGGAGGAACAGATGGAACTGGAATCTTGAAATTTGAAATTAACTTTACCATCGGAGTATAGGATCGCAATATGTAGGTAGTTTTAGAAATGTGTACTTATATGTACGAAAAGTACTAAATGGTACTATATTTGGGACAATTTGAATGTTGGGTGAATCGATGGAGCTGAAATGCTGAAATTTGAAAATAACTGCATTGTAGAACTTAGATATGTAGGAAGTTTTGGAAATTCGTACTAATTAGTACTAAATTTGGATTTAGTTGAAACATTAGGGCTGGAATCCAAAAATTTGGAATTAAGATTACTATTGGAGGATTGGGTATGTAGGAAGTTTTGGAAACTCGTACTTATGTTCTCTAAATGGCACTAAATTTGGTACAATTTGGATTTGGGTGAGTCGATTATGGTTGATGTTGGTAATTATGGACATTTATATCAATGTGTACTAAATGGTACTAAATTTGGATTTGCTTAAACCTATAGAGCTCGAATCATGAAATTTGGAATTAGTATTAGAAATAAGAAATTTAATATAGAGCTAGATTTTTGTTGCGGCCTGACTTTGTGTAGTGTTGAGATATGAAACATTTTGAGTGTTGAGATAAGTGAACTATTTTATATAGCTCGGTACCGGCATAAACAAAACTAATAACATCAGCTTTTTAAGAATAAGAAGCTATTATTATTAGGAGGATGGTAGGAATAATTTCGATGGCTAAAGAAATTGGATAGAAATATATTATGTGGTAAGGTTGCAATTTCCTAACCATTTTAGGTTTCATTTTAGGTTCCATAGTTGAAAAGTAGCTTAGAGACTGTGGAAAGTGAGCACCCGCTAATCTGTGCGTCTGTAGGCCAGAACTGGACAGCGACACAGGATATGCTCAATTGTCTCCGTCTCCTCCTCGTCAGCACAGAGTCTGCGGGAATCAGTAACATCATGGTCCCATTTACTGGTAAAGGCACTGATATTGCAATGACACGTAATGATTCCTGTCATTACTCTAATTTCAGCTTTGCTCAGGTGCAACAGTGAGTTTGTTCTCTTGGTTGACAGAGTCGGCCAGAATCGACTTGTAGGTAAGCTCAATGTCTAGCCTTTCACAGTAGACGCCAACCCCTCTCTACTAGCGAAACATCAACAGTGAGAATATCAAAATAATTATTTCCAACAGTGAATCCTGACCCATTAGCCTACAACCTCTCCAGGGTCTGCCAACTAATATTGTCATGCGACCGACGTCTTATGACCGATTTACAGAGTACAGCAATATAATAAAGAAACTAAAAATTAAAGTATTTATTTCAATTTGTTATAAAAACATAGCAATTGAAGATAACATAAACAGAATGCATAATTTTTTTAAGCATAAACGTATATTTATATGGCTGACAATAGGGGGAAGATTTTTTCCAACAGATTATCTTAACAAATATACACACGCGGTATTTTAAATTAAGATTATAATTAATGAATAATAAACAGAGATAATAATTCATTTATTAAATTGCATTTTTAGAATATCAGACACTTGGTAACATGCTGAGAATACCCAATATTTGTTTATAGGTTGGTGGTAGTAGGTGGCATAAGTAATGTTAGATTTTTTGCAATAATAGTCTAAAAATAGATTAGTGGGGTCTTATGACCGATACAAAATCCATTTTAGAAATTAAAATATAGTTATCAAAATTGAAAATATAATCAAAATATCAAAAAATCAATGGTGTATGTATACAGATTTCAACAATCATAATCTATATTTTGGAAATATTATAATTAGTTATGTTCCAAGTCGGGCGATCTGCAGATTGGGAAGTCTGTTAGGCCACCTATTGAGGATTACATTGCAAAAAATACTTCTGTTCTATCTTTAGATCATGAATATTTTTAAAAATACACGATTGACCAAAAAGCTCCGGCCTAACCAATATTCATTTAAAAATCCAAACAAATAAACATTTGAAAATCTTCCGCCCTATTCGCTAAGTTATTTAACTTTTATTTTCAATAACACATGCCAATAAAATTCACATTATCCATAATCAATATCTTAATCGAAAAATGTGGTCAAAAAATCGAAAACAAGAAATATTTTCATTTTTATTAATTTATGGGCTACTTTCATATCAAACATGATTTTTGGGTACCAACATTTTGTTAGCTCAGATATTTTTTTGTGTTAACGGTATAAACACTTTCTTGATATATGAATGACGTTCAGAACCTGAATAATATGTATATATAACCTGTCATTTATGTGTGTGTTTTTTTTTCATATCATTCCGACAGATTGTCTGAAATGTTTTGAGATTTTATTTGTGATTATAATATGTCTTAACAACAAAGTTCGTCTATACGTGTGGCGTTTATCAAAGAGGCAAGCTTGATTTATGAACTGCAATAATTTTGACAAAATCAAACAAACAAAATTTTTTTTAAAATTTATCTCTAAGGGGTTTTCGACAAAAATTCAAGTGATGCTTGGAATTTTTAAAAATAATCACTTACGCCATCTGTTGTCAGCTGTGTATGTGATGAAAACAAATACCATTAGGAAATATGATATTTTATCAGTTGAATTGTATTTTTGCTAAATAAAGATTTCATTTATGTTCGCTTTTTAAGTATTCATCGGGGGTTTTATGATCGGTTATAAGACTATATCGGAGACAACATTATTTTATCAAATTTGAGATGACTAATTTCTTGGTGATTTTTTAAAATTCCTGTTACTGCCTTCAATTTGGTCATATCACAATGAAGTAAAAGCTGTTTGGAAATTTTAGTATTTGTACTTGAGAATCCCCCAAGCCATTTTTATGTCGAAATACTACTGAAAAATTCTAGAAAACATTTTTTTTAATTATTATTATCCGCATTAGAAAAATTGGAAACAGATTGAGTCACAGGAAAATCTCTTAGGTAGCCACTGACTGAGAGGTCATTTGTTCGCCTATTAATTTTGCAACAGACATTTTATTTTGAGTGTAAGCGACCGAAAATCCATTTCACATTTCCCCATCGTCATCGTCGTGCCCAATGTAATTTTAAATACAAAATGCAATCACGAGAGTGAATTAGTGGAAAAGCGCATACGAAAATCAAATCAAAGAACTTCCGACATACGACATAAAAGTCACATAAATTAGTCAGTCAGCTAGTCATCGTTGATGCCGAAAATGGGAAAAACAACAATTAATAAATAACAATAGGTGTGTTCAATGATGCCGTGATTAATAATAAAAAAATATTGGACGTTGGATAAATAATAGTAATTTAGTCGAAATAATTTTTTCAATCCCAAAATTAATTTACCATATGTAGAAAATCTAAAAATGAATTTTTTAATTGAAAATGTGTCATTTATCACTAAAGAAATAATCAGTTTACATTTGGCTTATACAGATCAGCTGTTTACATGAAATATTTCCAGTCAATTTCTTTACAGACTTACTCTTTTATAGAAATAACCTTCAATAGTATTTTTTATAAAAAATGTATTCGAACAAACCTATTGTCTATGAGTTACATTTGTTGCTTTGTTTTAATCTAATTTTGGATATTGCACATTTAATTTGTTACCATTTTCGTGTTGAACATGATTTAAATGAAAACGCAATCCTAATGTAATATGAGAGAGAGGAAAAAAATACACGAACTTAAAAACTACTTAAAATTACAGACCTTGAGACGTACAAATGACACCAAATTAGATAAAATTAATGATAAATAAGTAAAAACGATGTTATATTCCTCCACCATGAGGTCGGACGGGCCGACTGTATGTTACCCAAAAAAAAAAGAACCAACTTGGATCCCCTTAAAATCAGTAATTCGCAACACGCTTACAACAAGGGCAAATCAATCGATAAAGCCCTACACGAAGTGGTTGAATGCATCGTGAAAAACTTGAATAACTCTGACTTTACATTAGCATCCTTCCTTAACTTAGAGGGAGCCTTTAATAATGTCAAACTTGAATCTATCCACAAAGCTCTCGTAATCACAGGAATCTCCTCTATTCTGGTCGATTGGGTTTGGATGTGATGCTAAGAAGCAGAATAATCAACGCAAACATTGTAGAGAGTTTCATAAGGAAATTTGTCAACAGGGGTACACCGCAGAGTGGAGTTTTATAACCCCTGCTCTGGCTCCTGGTGATAAATGAGATTCGTGTTAAATTTGACTCGCCTCGTACAAGCATTGTGACTTATGCTGACGATGTGGCCGTGTTGATAGGCTATACATTTCTACCAACGATCTCAAACATTATTTAAAATGCACTGGTACTGCTATCGGAGTGGCTAGGGGTGAAACCCACGAAGACAGAGTTGGTACAGTTAACGAGAAAGCTGAAAATTCCAATGTCCCCCTACCAATACAGTATGGAATAGCCCTAGAACTCTCCATTGATGCGAAGTTCCTCGGAACTATACTTGACAAAAATTAAAGTGGAAAAGGAACGTAGAAGAACGCACAAAGGGAGGTCCCATGACGCTCTATTCATACAAGGATTCTATAGGGAAAAGTTGGGAGTTGCAACCAAAAATCATGTACTGGTTGTATGATACAGTTGTACTTCCCACCCTCACCTATGGTTGTCTTGTATGGTGGCCGGCGCTTGAAAAAAACGCTGTTGCCAAGATAGACAGTATACAGCGGTCCGCCTACTCCCCATTTCAGGTGCTCCGAAAACGAACAGACGTAGGCTTCTCCATTTGCATAAAATCGTACTGAAATATATGTAAGACCTATATCTACATTTGAAACGATTTCAACAGCAAAATATCGAGCAAATAGAACATGATCTATGGTGAACCATTTATATAAAATGGGAATCTGAACCGATTTTAAACTTAATAAAATTAATTCTAGACTAAATTCCATACGTGAATATATAACAAACATAGCCTCATCGATGCACCACTTACATAAAATCGGACGAATAATAGGAGCTAAATCTAAACCAACAAAATTTCGCATACATCAATCTGGGCCTAATTCAGTGCGCTGTGCAAAATTTTGTTCCAATTGGACAAATATTGGAAATATGGTGCTTCATTTACATAAAATCGAACGAAAGTATATATGGGAGATATATATAAATCTAAACCGATTTTAACAAAACTTCGCACACATCAATCTTGGCCAAATTCAATGCGTTGTGCAAAATTTCCTCTCAATCGGTCTAATATTGGGAGTTTGGTGAACTATTTACATAAAATCGGACGAAAATATATGTGGGAGCTATATCTAAATCTGAACCGTCCAATTTCACCTGTGCCAAATTTCATACAAATCGTATCATAAAATACATCAACAGACGACGGACATGCATAAATCGACTCAGAAGGTGATTCTACTAATATTCTCAAAAGGAACCATGGGTCTATCTCGATACCTTTTGCCTGTTACAAACATATGCACAAAGAAATAATAACCCTGTACCACAGTGTGGCGAAGGATATAAATATTAATGACAATGCGGTAGGAAAATGATCCAAGGACCATCAACACATTTTAATTTAATTTGAAAAATGGATCTATGTGGTAATTTTCTACAAAAAAAAAACCCTTTTTTACCCTTAAGAAACCGTAATGACAAAATATAGCCATATGGGCTAGAAGTGCGCCAATTTAAACGCCTATATGTATATACGATACTTATAATATTTCGTAGAACCACATAATGAAATTTTGGGACCTGTCTATGGAAAGATATTGATAATTTTTTTTCGAAAATTGGAGGTACGTTGCATGTCGGAGGCTACACATAAACGTGTACCGATATCAATCAATTTTGGTAGAAAGATTTACGATCCAATAAAAACGCCAAATCTTCCATCAAACGCCCCTTATAAATTTCTTAAAAATCCACGCCTTCGGCCTATCAAATCTTCCTCAAAGTTCCTTAAAAATACACGCCTTCCGCCTATAAAGTCTTCTTTAAAGTTCCTTAAAAAATCTACGCCTTACGGCTAGAAAATTTTCCTTCAAACTTCCTTAAAAAATTCATGTCTTACGGCTATGAAGTTTTCTAAGCCTTATGGCAATCAAATATTCCTTTAAAATTCTTAAAAAATCCACGCCTTATGGCTACTAAGTCTTCCTTCAAAATTTTCTTAAAAAATCCACGCCTTATGGCTACTAAGTCTTCCTTCAAAGTTTCTTAAAAATTCCACGCCTTACGGATATAAAATCTTACTTCAAAGTTCCTTAAAAAATTCCACGCCTTCTGGCTATCAAGTCTTCATTCAAAGATCCTTAAAAAAATCCACGGGTTGTGGCTATAAAATCTTTCTTTAAAAGTTCCTTACGGCTATAAAATCCTCCTTAAAAAAATCCACGGGTTGTGGCTATAAAATCTTTCTTTAAAAGTTCCTTACGGCTATAAAATCCTCCTTAAAAAATCCACGGGTTGTGGCTATAAAATCTTTCTTTAAAGTTCCTTACGGCTATAAAATCCTTCTTAAAAAATCCACGCCTTATGGCTATCAAATCTTCCTTCAAAGTTCCTTAAAAAATCCACTCCATTGTGGCTATCAAGTCTTCCTTCAAAGTTCCTTAAAAAATCCACTCCATTGTGGCTATCAAGTCTTCCTTCAAAGTTCCTTAAAAAATCGACACCTTACAGCTATCAAATCTTCCTTTAAAGAAGTTCCTTAAAAATCCACTCTTTACGGCTATCAAAGCTTCCTTCAAAATTCCTTAAAAACCTACCCTTGTGACTATTAAGTCTTCATTCAAGGTTCCTTAAAAAATCATCGCCTTGTGCCTCAAAGTTCTTTAAAAAATCCACGCCTTGAGGCCCCATTCAATCTTCCATTCAATCTTTCCCTTAATGATTTCAAATTAAAATCATATCATTCTAAACTGACGTATAGGAATGCGAATTTAGTCAAGACTTTCACTGACAAATATTTATATTTAATATCGAAACCGTAACCTCCATTTCGAGATTGAATTTTTGCAACAATGGAAACCGTTGTTCTGCAAAAAATCAATGAAATCTGCTTGAAAAAATACGAAACCTGGTATATTTATGTTACTAATAACAAAACTATTTTTTTTTTCATAAACCGCAAATATTTTTGTCGCCAACAAATAAATAATTGTAACAAAACTCAAATATTTGAATCGAAAAAAATGGCAAAACAAAAATTTCAATTAACATAATTTTGTTAATTTAAAATTAAATAGACAGTCCCCCCGTCTACCTTATTCTAAATTCAGACTAATGTTGAAATAACATACTGCTAGGAGAGCTAAGTAACAAAAAAAAAAAAAGGTAAAGTGTGATGCCAATTGGAAACTAAGATAATGTTTTTGTTGTTATTTGGTTATACTCCGGTCCGAAAAAAAGAAGAGAGATAATAAACAGGTTGATTGATTTTCGGTTTTTTTTTTGGTGTGGTTAACTTTCATACCCGCGATTGCTTATTTAATCAGATTCACAAGCGAACGTACGTACATATGTGCTATATACATATATAAATATCAATTATGTATTACTACTACCCAAGAAAATAAAAAAACTAGAAACTCTAATGTGACGATAATCAACATCAACGATTTGTTTTTTTTTCAGCATTTCAAGTTCAATGTTTGTTGTATTTTATTCCGATATGTTTTGGGGGTTTTATTTTTGTTTATTTTTTTTTTTTTTAGTTTGGGGGAATAAATGACAGGTACTCGAAAAGTAGTCATTAGATACAGTTTGAAAACATTTAAGATTTGTTTGTTGTTTTAAATTTGGTGTGGGGAAGCAAATTGTTGCGTCCAATGGCTAATTAATAAAAATATGTCCAGTTATGGCAAAATAAATTGGCGCCTTATTATGCCATTTTAATTTCAATTTCGCTTTTCAATATCAAGTTTCGTGTTATTTTAATTAGCAAATCCTTGTGGCGAGAATTTTGCATTTAGAAGTTAATATATTTGAAATTAAAGCAGTCAGAACGATTATGAATTCTATTAAAATAAATAAAAAGGTTAGAAATGACTGGAATTTAATATTTATTGAAATAAGATAGGAAAGGCCCATATAGTCGGACAGAGCTGACTATATGATAATGTAACCAATTTGGGTAGAGATTTTCAAAAGATACTAATGGTAACCTAAGAAACTTCAGAAATACTCCTAATTAAACCAGTAAGGAAAGTAGTAAAGTCGGGCTGGGCCGACTATATGATACCCTTCACCACTTTGGGTATATTCTACATATGTATCCCAACAGGCGACGCGTTTTTGTTATATATCTATATCTGAACCGATTTCAGGGAAAATTGCCAGAGACTAATATATATTACCTCAGTACGTTGTGTCATTCGGCCTTGCTATGGATCTTTTCACGCAGCTTAGCAACATCATTTTAGACTTAATTCAGTACTTCAGTAGTGTTGGCGGTTTATTTGGGATATTATTTGTGTTTTGTTTTTATAAAAAACAACTATTTATTAGTGGGGAATGTATGGCATTGATTGCCGAGGGGAAAGGCAGGGAAGACTATAGTTTCGGATCACGCCACTGATCCTCATCAGTTCCCTTAGTTTTTTGTTGAAATATTCTCCCCAGAAGCTATTGCTTCTATACAAAAAACCTTTCAAACCCAAATGTCTCTTGTAACAAAGCGAATTACTTAGCTGACCAACGTACCCTATACCAAAATTCGTGCAAATAGAAAGATATATAGGGACTTTGGTGCACCAATTACATAAAATCGGACAAAAATATATATGGGAGCTATATCTAAATCTGAACCGATTTTCACGAAACTTTGCCACAGCATTCTAGACTTAATTCAGTGCGCTATGCCAAAATTCGAGCAAATGAAAAGATTTCCAGGGACTTTGGTGCACCAATTACCTACAATCGGGCGAAAATATATATGGGAGCTATATCTAAATCTGAACCGATTTTCATGAAACTTAGCACAAATTATTATAGACCCAAATGCCAGATATATTGGGTCTTTGGTACACCAATTACCTTAAATCGGATGAAAATATAAATGGGAGCTATATCTAAATCTGAACCGATTGTCACGAA